AAACACAGCCAGAGTCAAACATTAATATCACAGCAGTGACATTAACAGTCAGAGTAAAATATGAATATCACAGCAGTGATATCACTACATCAGCAGAGCATATGTCATATTTCAACATTACTCAAAACCACATTAACCACAGTAACCAATGTGAAACTATAGTTTAACCTTAGCAGGGTTTCTATTCCCCTTAAACAATTTAAAATCCAAATGGTCAACTAATGTCAGCCTTTTCCAAGGAAGGGTGTTCTTACTCACTGTAATGGCGCATTTCCACTGCAGCGGGTCGTCCCGTTTAAGCGTCCTTAATCGTCCTCAAGCGGCCAGGCCAGTTTTTGGTGGCCTTTCCATATAGCGTAGCACCGGCTAGCGGGTACTTTTTCCCTCTTTTTCCGGCCCCATAAAATCGTGGTTCTATCAGGCCAGGGCCAAGGCTGAACAAGTGACGTCAACACTCTCGACTGCTGATTGGTCAGAGAGAATCGTCACAAGATCGCGCGCGAGATCATCCCTAGCGTCGCATATATATCTAGAAGCAAGCTTGCAGCATTTTTATACACAGCATTTTTGTAAACGGAGGAGCTACAAAAATGGCAACGTCAAAGAAAAGCACACCGTGGTCGCCCGAGGAGGTGACGACGTTCCTACATCTCATTGGGGATGATAAAATCCAGCGGGAGCTCGACGGAACAACTCAAAATGTGAAAGTGTTCCAGCCGAAAGCCCCGCCTACACTGCGTTGCTACCCCAGGTCCTAAACTGTAATGGAAATGCGCCACGGCCTCGGACGGCCAGCGAGGCAGCCCGAGGCCTGAGCGAGGACGCTTAGGGACGCTTAAACAGGGCTACCCCGCTGCAGTGGAAATGTGCCATAAGACCAAGCAGATGCCTTCAGAGACCACGAGAGAGACCAGGAATTGGATCGAAATGTACAAAGTACAAACCGGTTTTATTAAGGTTTTAACAAAAATATAGGATTTACAAGAATCCAAAAAATAACAAAGACACAAAGTCAAAATACAAAAGCAACCCATAGCCCAAGAACCAAGACGCAGAATCAAGCCTCAGAAAAGTTCCCCCAAGCTCTCAAGCCTAAAAAGCCCCAGCCTCTCTTTAAACATCATCTTTTATAGTCTCTTCTCTCCTCCCTCTCTGCATCAGGTGGTTTCCCCTTTTCTATCTTTGAGGGAGAAGGAGGTCACATATGTTCAACTTTTACTTAATGGACAATTAAAAATGTAAAGTTAAAATTAAAACAAATAAAGACTTATAGTAATAATATGCAATCTTAACAAGAGGGGTTATGAACATTTTTCATGAAAGCAGAACACATTGTCAATGTCATGTTTAGAATCAAGTTTTTTCTTTAAGCATTTCATTTCAAATATGCAAACTTGATACTTTAATTTATTAACAGAGACAGCTTGTCTCTAAGATTCGCTGGCCCAGGAAGTTGGTTCAAATCTTTTACGTAGTCAGTCTGCATCCTGACTCATTGTCTTCGTAACCGCTGTAATCGTTGTCAAGGTGTCAAGGTGTCAAAAACCACAACGCCTAGTCAGAATTGTGGTTGGAACTTTTACGCTTTTATTGCACCTTCTAGAATGCTTCGTGTGCATAGGTCAAGAGTTCAGGATTATCTATCTAGTTTCACATGTCTGGTTTCACATGTCTGAAAAGACATTATGGAAACATACATCCTTTCCATTTACAGCCAATTTAGCAATTTGTATCAATGGTAAGCCTATTAGAGGTAGGTGAGGTAAAGGTCAGGTCTGACACGGCCACTTAAACAGCAGAATTGTCAACAGTTGTCAAACTCAAATGCTTCCTGACATACTTATTAGGTGCTTTAATGTTAATACTATCAAGCACAGTGTTAATCACCGCATGTTGTTTTTCTCTATTTTGGGTTAGCGAAAAGAGGAGCAATAGCCTAGCTCAAACAGCACCAAGGGCAAAATGGTCAGATTGAGAGTGTGATTTATTCCAACGATTCCCATCAGAGTACAAGGCATGGCCTGTTGAGCTTATACACAGAATTTTCAATTGGGACTCATTACAACATTTCTCTTTTTTCTTTTTTTTCAAAGTTCGAATGTAAACTGTTTTGTTTGATTAATGGAAGTATAATGTATTTGTGTTAAGTTTTGCCACTGATTACATGTCTTCTTTTAACAAATAGAGAGCAGCCTGTACCCCTTTGGAGATGAGGTTGGTGATAAAGGCGTAAATATGGACTCAGCAGATGGAAATTCACCATACATCACCCCACCTATTGGTTTCCCCTTCATGGGAAAATTGTACAACAGGGTTTATGTGAGTTTCAAGCATTTATATACAACCAGTGATGGCTCTACTCCAGACCATTTAATGGCTGGGAATGGGAGGATTGAGAAACTGTCACGGTTTTAAGTTTGTGTGTCTGGTAGTGGGTGTTTTTCTGTTTTCCCCCCTGTATATTGTCTGGTCTTTTTTCCCTGTGTTTTCCTGTCTGTCGTTAGTTTTCCCTGGTGTGTCTAATTTCCTGATTGTTTTCACCTGTCACCCCTTCTGTGTCTCCTTTGCTAATCAGCGTCAGTCCCGCCCCTGATTATTCCCACCTGTGTCTTGTTACCCTGTGTTTAAATTCCCCTGTCTCCCAGTGTTCAGTGTCAGTTCGTTTTCGTCTCTTGTCATGTTCAGGTCTGTGTTCGTATTGTCTCTTGCTATGGTCAGGTCTATGCTCTTTTTTGTACTTGGGAAAAGTTTTGATCCTCACTACGTGAGCGATTTTCATTTTGTTCTCCATTTTTGTAGAGACCATTTTTTGTTGTTCATTTTTGCTGTTCTTGAAAAAATAAAGTATCTTACAAATACTTTACCTCTGTCTCCCGGGTCATCCAATTGGGTCCTACCTCTTAAGTGCCTGAGTTCTTAACAGAAACCTGGGTCTTGTTAGGCTTTAAGGTACAATATGTATTTCGCAAAACTGCTACACCACCCCCATAAGGTTGGTTCTTGGAAAAACTAACAATACTAACTTTTTCTTCATCACTTCCTGTGAATAATCACAATTTCCCCTTTGGGCAGAGAACATAATATTATTCCCCAGAGTAAGGGTGATCCACAGAGGTTTTGAGTTGTGTGGGGGCATTGGTCATTATTGCCCCTAATTAGAACTTCCATTGTCTACAACACTCTGCAAAAGTTGTAATCTTCTATAACTGATTTTTTTATTATGGAAATATTTAGAAATGTTTGCATCTTAATCCAGGTCATGTCTCATATTATTCATACATTCATGTATCCACACCAAAAAAGGATTCTCTCCTTAACAGCAAATGTAATTAAATCTTACCAGCACATTTAATTAGCAAGCTAAATATTAAAGCAAAGCCTCATCGCAGAGATAACAGTAATTATCATTAGAATATAAATACGTTTCATTAGTGTGATATGTGATAGCAATACACATACATTAGTCATGACTTACTACAATCTACAATGTTTAAATGGCAGCATAAATTACATAATATGTATGAGGTTAACATGTTTTGCTCAAGGTTTTACTGTGAAAATTAAAATTAAAAATGTAGTTACATGTTGCAATTACTACTTAAATATTAGCAATACTGTTAGGATTTTTATTTTAAACTCAGTCTGATATGATATCTGTATCTCTCCTTCCTTTCTCAGTTTTCAGACAATGGCCTTGTCCAGTTTCAATCTGTCACTGAGAACGAGCAGTACCTGCTCCCGGCTCCATTGGCGTATGGTTTCCCCGACAACATGACAGTGGGCCTGCTGGCGGCATTTTGGGATGATGCTGACCTCACCCATGGTGACGGAAGGCTGCTCTATCAGGTTAGATGTGTTAATGTGATTGTTTTCTATTACTTAAGGTTTTCTATTTCCAGTTATTTGACATTTTTGTTGTCTGTCTTTTTATCATGTAAAGGACTTTTTCTCACATTTTAAATTATTTTATTATTGTATTCATTATTTTGTTTGTTATTGTTGTTATTATTATCGTTATTTTTGTATAATTTATTCTTTTTCTTATCAAATTGGTTAGGGTCTGGCATTTTTTGTAACTTGTGCATTATATATCTCCTTATTTTCTTTTTCTAATCTTTCAGGAATATCATGGCCTGGATGTATCAGATGTCTACTCCCAGATAGTGTTTAACCGTACGGCAGATGATGTGACGAAGTTTGAGCAGCGGAGGAACAAGCCTGCCTTCACCCCTGCATGGATCCTCAAGATCACCTGGGACCATGTGATGCCCGTCGTCTATCAGAAAATCAACTTCTCAGAGGTAAAGAGATGTAAAACTAAACAGATTTATTTTCTTTCGTTCTTCCTTTCTTTTATCTCTGAACATCAGTTGGTATTTAAGAGTGGTTGTATGTAACTAAGTACAAGTGTTAAACTGAAGTACTATTTTGGCATACTTGTACTTTAATTTTCTATTACTATACATTGAGCTTTTAACATTATCGTACAAATGTAACATTAATAGTTTAGCAACCTTTCAAATAAGACTGACTATATGCTTGTATGATATGCAGCAGAACTGTATTTTCTTATGTTATTTCTTCAAGTATTTATAATTGCCTCAACATGACGAACTTCAAGATAAAAATGCCCTTAAATGCAATTGTTAGTGATAAAAACTAAATAATTCTGTTCTATAATAACATTCTATTGAAATAATATTTAGCAGGGAGTGCTTGTCCAACTTTATTTGCTATTGTTTTGTGCAATATGAAACCTTTAACCATCTCCTCAATGAAAGCTCATAACACTTGGGCTGTTTTGTTTAACTTTGGTGCCACCTTGGGGCTGTTTCAGCTACAGGGCGTAAAAGCAGAGCTGCCACCTGTCTATGTAATTACTTCTTACAATGGCATTTTGGCATAGTAAGTGCATTCTTGCTGCTCTTTTACGATGGGAATGTATCAAAATTTAGAGTAGTGTAGTGACACACGGATGTTTTACAATCAGGGATACATTATGACAATCAATTTGGGATTACAGTCATGTTTTTTTTTCAGGCTGCATAAAAGAAAAACATATTTTTAATATTTCTATAGTTTAACACACTGTTAACGTGTTAGTGTTGTTATTTGCTAAATGTATAAAACTATATCATGCAAGGTAGACTGCAACATTGGCTGAAGAATATTTTATGGAATGTATACCTCTATATCTATAATATTACAATAATCTATGTTTAAATGTTTAGTTGATATCCTCTTTTTACTTGTTACATTACATTACATTTAACTTGTTAGATGCTTTTATCCAAAGCGAAAATACTCAATACTGTGGGCAATCCTCACAGGAGCAATTTGGGGTGAAGTGTCTTGCCCAGGGACACAACTGTGGGGGAAACTTCTGAAGCAATTGGAAACAGGACTCAGAGAGACACGAGGAGAGCTGGAGCTTTGATGGCAAAGACTGATGGTTCATTTGGAGTTTCGGCCGGAGAGTTGACAAGACAGGTGGTGTGTCACGAGTTGACACAGCGGTTGCCAAACCAATTCTGAAGAACTCCTTCTGTAGTACAAGGTTTTAACTAGTTCAGAGTGTAATAATCAACATTCTTTATCAGTGAGACTAAACATTATGCACCCTGAATCTAACTAGAGCTCTCGGCCATAGAAAATAATGTGCGCCAGGGAACCTACATCCCTGAACAGTAAACTACCTCATGGCGGCTTGTGCTCTGTCATAGACTGGCAACAACAATGCGCCCAAGCTGCTCCTCCTTAAGAGAGATAGCAGCAATGCCCAAGGCCTTAGACCAGGGGTGTCAAACTCAAATACACACCGGGCCAAAATAAAAAAATCGGTACTAGTCGATACTGGTTCGATGTTTATTGCAAAATGTATTGAAATGAACTTATTTCACATATTAAATCTGGAACTAACAAAGCTTAAATTATTGCCTATAAAAACAACATTAAATAATCAGTTGCATTAATTCCTTATGGCTCTATCTGCAGCTTTTCCAGAGTCATTTCTTATGATTACATTTTTCCACAGCCAACAACAGCTTCAAAAAAACAATTCCCCTCAAAGAAAAAACCAAACATTCCCTGTTGTCGCAAGAAAGAAAGTGCGGAAGGAAACATATATTGAAACTCAGTGTGCTGCTCTGTGATGCTAGTTCAAGCCAGATACTTGGCATCTCATCTTGGGTGCAAGTTCATCAATGTTTGGGCTAAGGCTCTGAGCTGAGGAATATACCGGCGGCCAGATCTAACAGCAATTAGAAATTATCCTGCGGGCCGAAATTAAATCCACCAAGGGCCTGATTTGGCCCCCGGGCCTTGAGTTTGACACATGTGCCGTAGACCTATACCATGGGAAAGGAGACAGTGAGAGGAGAAAATTATGAACTGTGTCGAAGGTTGAATACCTAAGCAAATTATTCCCTAACAACAACGACATGCTGACTGCAGTGGGACTCAAACTTGCCATCCTCCGATTCGAAGATCAGCGCACTGAGCCAAAGCCTCCCACCGACCCCCTTGATAAAAGGCCTCATCTTCTTATTTTAGGATCAATGCAATTTCTTTAGTAATCAGCTTGTTTTTTTTGTTGAATGTTTATTATCTTTATTATATATATATTTTGTATGTATTCTTATTATTAATTAAATTAAAAAGATGTAAAGGACCATGCTTTAAAAAAGAATTCATTTAAAAAAGAGAAGACCATTTTTTATTTAGCTATTTAATTTTCATCCATGGGCAGATTAAACACAGAAACATATCTCAAGGGAATGACACTTAAAATACCTTTTTAAATATGTTGTTGTAATTCATGAAAACGGGCCAGAAAAACAAAGTAAGTAATAAGTGTAAATGTAAAAACATCTATAACAGAACTTACTTTTCATTTTCAGACTAACACTTTCCAGTGTATCCTGACCACTGATGGAGTGCGCTCCTTCGCCCTCCTGCAGTACGGGGACATGCTCTGGGGTCCCGGCCAGAGGCAATACCATGACGCTATCATCGGCTATACGGATGGAAAATCCTCCTACAGGGAGCCCACTGTACCCCCAGACAACTTTTTTGGGCCTGGGGGCAGATACAGGCCCCAGCAGGTGAAGGGGGTCATGGGGAAGCTGGGTCAACTGGTGTATGATTTTACAGCACCAAGGGGGTCAGACCTAGATTCCCGGCTAAGGTGCCAGGCGTGGGCGATGGAGCAGCCGGACCCCGCACAGTGGACAACGGGGCTACCTCCATGTCCCTGCACACGCATCCAGGCTCGGGAGGACTTGTCCTTCATGCAGGACACCACTGATCCGGGTTCCATGGTGAAGACGCTGAGGGGTCTGCGGTGGGGGGGCGCAGGGGGGCACGTCTTCCAGTCCGTCTTGTCCAACAGGCACGGTTCAGGGAAGAGGTGTGTGTATGACCCTGATGGCCCGCTGCTGGCTGGGTACAACGAACGATACTTCTACGGAAACAGCGTGCAAAAACATATTGGTATTATGATTTAAATAATTTTCCAACATTAAATAAGGAGTTCAAGTCTCAATCGTCATCAGTGAATGTTTTTATCCAGTTTTTCAATACAATAATAATTATGTCAAAGTCAAAAACTGCATGAGACAGTGCAAATGAAGCTGTATTCAAGACCAAGTCAATTGTATGCATTTGGATTTCATTTAAAAAAAGGACAAAACATGGACTTTAAAAGTATATACAGAAATATATCTAAAGGAGCTTTATACTGTACCCTTCAGGATACAAGCATTTTTTTACATATAAAGTTCTTATTTATCACTTTGTTTCAATTTATTATAATGCCATGCTCAAGGAGAAAGTAAGACACCTGTCCTTGGCAGTGTATTTAATATTTAATCAACTTTTTCTCTCCAGACGAGGATCTCCTGCCGTTCCAGTGGTGTTGTATCGAGTCTCCTCTGTGCCACCTTTACCTCAACAAGAGACCGCTGGACCGCTGCCAAGGTTACAGCTGGGCAAGCCTTCACCGATTCAGTCTAACCAGGAAGGTGACACCGGGTGTAGGTGAGGGATCACAGACTGTACAGTGATTAATCAAATGTTATTTTGATGTACAGTATGCAACTAGTCCTTATGGTCAGCAATAGGCAGCAGAGAAGATGCTGTACCATCAATTAAAAAAGACTATGTTGTAAGAAGAAAACAAATACGATACCAGGGGAGGAGCTATATCAAAACTTAAAATTAATACATTAAAATCACAAATTCACAAGAAAAAAATAACTTTTTAGTATGGATCGTTAGATAATAATAATAAAAAAATTAATTACTTTTTTCTCATTACATTCTGAATGTATTCCCACAATTTGAGCTGTTTCTAGAAAATGAATTACTTTAAATTCATAGAGAATAATTAACTTTTTTCTCTCAATATGAGTTTTCTTTTTTGTAAATGTACCACTGAAATGTAAAACTATAAGGTTTTGTTCTGAAAAAAGCCCGCATATAGTCTTTTTTTAGTTTCTAATACACCCCCCTCTTAAGTATGATGAATGTCAATAATATGCCAGAAAAACCCCCCTTGTCGATGTTCCCTTGCAGCGATGGTGTACGGCAGCCTCCATTTCATCACCTTCGATGGGACGGAGTTCTCATTCAAGGCCCTCGGAGAGTTTGTGATATTGCGTCTCTCCTCCTCCAGCGGCTCTAATATCTTCACCCTGCAAGGACAGACTGACAAGCTACACACAGACGCAAAGGGGATCATTGAGGTCCCAGTGGTGGTGCGCATGGCTGCCTTCCACCAGGGCATTGGCAAGGTCAGGGTGTGTGTGTGTGTGTGTGTGTGTGTGTGTGTGTGTGTGTGTGTGTGTGTGTGTGTGTGTGTGTGTGTGTGTGTGTGTGTGTGTGTGTGTGTGTGTGTGTGTGGAGAGAAGACAAGACAAAGTTACGGTGACTATTCCCCAGACAGATAGTTTGTGCCTCTTGAAGAAATGGTTACATTTTGGAAAATTAAGTCTAATAATGTTCTTTCTGAAAGGAAGGTAATGAGACAGATGGTGATGGCATTCCCATTTTTGTGCATCAAGTATAGTTGGCTGGGAGATGATTAGCCTAGCTTAGCATAACGACGCAGGAGGGGAGCAGCTAGCCTACTTTTGTCCAACGTTTAAATAAAGACCCATCAACAATTGTTGGATTAATCCTTACACAAACAGATATCCAAAAGTAAATACAGTAGGCCTACTCAAAATTGTAGGGAGAAATTATGCTAAGCTAATTGGCTCAAGCTTCGTTCTAATACATTGATTTCAATCTTGTCTGAAAAAGTGAGCAAATGGGTACCGGTACATATATTATAACTGTCACACAATCAGTACCCAAGTATTCCCTCTGCAAAATCCACTCATCCAATTGTAAAAGCAGACTGGAATGAATATTTAAAAAATAATGGTAAGTCCTTCATTGACCTCTAATATTCACATAATTTTCTTCAGATTGAATGGAGATGTGCAGAGAAAGGAGATGGACTGCAGCTTTTTGTTGATGATGCCAAGGTCCCAGTCACAGTTGGTAATGGTCACATTACACATTACATTAAATAATACGGTTTTACAGTTAACATCAAGACTAATATTATACCCAACCTGCCTTGTATCCAATTATGTTTTCAATGTCAAATCACCACTGTCCATTCAGGTGTGGTGCACATGGGTGAGAGGGACTTTGCTGTGCGCTGTGTGTCAGTGAGTCGTTGTGCGGCGGTGTACGCCGGTGGTCTCCATGTGGTGGTGTGGAGGGAAGCCCACAATCAGCTGGCGGCCATGGTGGAGGTTCCTCAGACTTTCTACAACCGCACTGTGGGCCTCATGGGTCAGTGGAGCTCCAACCGCTCCGACGATTTCCTCATGTCCGACGGCAGGCTTGTCCCCTCACTGGACCTCAACCCCCCTTCAGAGGCCAAGCTGCATGACTTCGGCGTGTCCTGTAAGTGGAACATAGATTAATAATGTTATTGTTTGTGAATAGTAAGCAAGGCTAAGAACGGGACTACTACAGGTGGTCCTCTACCCCACTTAGGTGCTCTGTTGCATCAAATCTTAACAATAGAGTATTATTCCCTCCATGTTGTGGTGAGCTTTTGAAGACGCTATAATCAATATTTATGTCTTAACATTGGGTCAAAAGAATATGTGTAAAAAGAAGGGGGCTATTTGTAGTGATTAAGATAATTTACAGAAAGCTAAGTCTTTTAGCATCTTTCACCTAATTGTCTTGGTTTAATATCCCTCAACTTCAATACATTCAAAGTGACATTGTAAACATGAACAACATGTTCTTGTTTTGGCTCTTTTTTTAAATCCTTTCCAGCTATGTGCACAGTTATTTTACGTAAAGCCTACAGGTAAGCTTTTTAAAGAACGTTTGAAAAACCTTTCAATATCTTAGTCTTTTATTAGGTTTAATGGTACTTTTTTTCTCCTTATGAATACAAATGTGGGCTTTTCATTAACAACTCACAGCCTCTTGCCACTTTTGTACACCTCTGTTAGTTGTCAAAGAAAGCCCACATGCAATTTGCTGTAAGAAAACAAAAAAACTCAATTGTGACGCTTATTCCAAATGCACTTACATCATAAGAAAGCTCTTAAAACCAGAATAATGTTCGAATGTCTGACTTTTTTAACAGAAAAACCCAAATTGAATATGATGAATTTGTTTCTAGTAAAAAAAATTGCAATAATGCCACATTTGAAGCAAAAGTGGAATATAAGTGTGCATGTAAACATGAATAGTGGGCCCTCCATACATGAAATGTAACAATATTGGGACACCCTGCCCTAACCTTGTATTTTGTAAAGGAAATAATGGGTGAGTCATGCTTCTCTGAGATTATAACTCCCCAAGTTTGGTTTCCAGTTATCTGGTGTGTTGTGCTCAGCTCCAACTGTCTGCCTGTGTGTTTCCAGGGGCAGTTCCCGTCCCAGAGAGCCTGCTGTTCTCTCCACCTCCACATGCTCCACTGCAGCCTGCCTCCTCTCAGCAGCTCCTGGAGAGCCTCAGTCCTACGGAGGTGAGGGAGCTGAGGAGAACCTGTAAAGGCAGCATGCAGTGCGTCCACGACACCATAGCAACCGGCAGCTCTGACCTGGGTCAGCGCACTCTGGCTGCCAAGAACCAATATCAAAATCTGGCTCTCGTATACGGTAAGGACTTTTAATTTGAAATGTTCTGTGTTTCCCCCATTGACCTGTTCTAATTTAATGTGGTCTGCTAGGTAACATGCCTCCCATAGTGACGGAGCCCACAGTGATTGGCTGTAAGGTCAACTCCACTGTCAACGTTCAGTTTGTTGCTCAGGACCCGAATGGAGACCCCATCACCTACTCACTGCTCCACCCCAGGCCTCCCCGGACCTCCATTGGCAGCAGTAAGACACACACACACACACACACACACACACACACACACACACACACACACACACACACACACACACACACACACACACACACACACACACACACACCTTTCCCCTTAAAATGTTTTTCCAAAAACAGCCCCCCGCCCCCTCCTCCATCAGGGTTACACATGACGTTCTTAAGATTTTTTATTGGGTTTGTGAGCCTTATTTTCGCCAGATGGGACATTTCAGAGCCGAGTCAGTGGATGGGTCACACTGACAGACACGCACAGGGAACCAGAAGGCTCAAAAAGTAACAGTCATGTATGAAATGGTGTTTTTTTATGACAAATCTATGATTATTTTTACAAAAAAAAGTGTCAGAAATATAAAGGCAAAAATAATTTTAAAATGTAATTTAACATACCTTACTGCTTTCTGTCCTTTTGACTGATGACAATTTACAAAAATAACAAATGATCCTTCCAGATATTTTTTTGAGGATAACCAAGAACATTAATGCAACTAAAAAAAAATATTTCCATGTCTAATATTAAACACTCAGCATAGGCTCTAAAATAAAAATGTTTTATCAGTTTTTCTACTGTCAATATGTTAATTTGTTAAAATGTTTGTATTTTAAGGTCAGGGGAAAAGTAATCTGAATCTAACTTTCCCCCCCAAAAATACATTGCAATCCAATTGTTGGAAAATATAATTGCAAAAAAACCTTTTCAAAATAGCACCAACTCAACAGGATTGATCTTGCTCTAGCGACGCAAGATATTTGACTTTTATTTTCATTTTATTTGGTATGTTATAATATTTATTTTAGTTATATTTTTGTGTTGATTTTTTTATTATTATGAGGTTATATTTTTGTCATCATATTTGCGTTTGTGTATTTTTTTCCTGTATAAAATAAAATACAATAACAACAAAAAGAAATGTTGTGAGTGTAAATAGTTTTTTTTTTTTAATTGTCTAAAGTTTTTCAACACTGTTTCCCTGCCATTATTATGCAAATGACCATTCATATACATACTGTATACTCTGTATACTACTCTATGCTATACCTTTGTGCTTGTTGCTCCAGGGGACGGCTTCCTGACCTGGATGCCCCTCACCACACAGCCAGTCCAGCTGACCATCAGAGTCAGTGACGGGCTCTCCAGCTCCCTGTTCACCCCCATCCTGCACGTTTGCAACTGCCTCAACGGAGGGACCTGCCAGTATGAGAGTGTCACTGAAAACCTCCAGCAGGGGACTTTTCAGGTACATCTTTGATATGCAAAAGTTTTTCTCATGACATGTTAAGGTTGATTTCCCTCAACAGAAACACCCTCTGCAGGGATCTTTGGGAATTTAGGCTTTGCAGAACATTTACAAGCAGTGCTTGAATTGGAATAAAAAAAGGTGCCAGTAATCTAAATCAGCAACTGTTTCAAGTCAATTTTATTTATACAGCCAAAAAACAAGAATTTGGCTCAAAGTCATATAGTATATCCTATAATGCTCAGGGTGCATCTGAGATTAGAGGGGGTGCAGTGATATTTTTTAAATATTGAAGTTAAATGCATCAATCTGGTGCGCTTTGAGAGCAACATTAAGAGATCTATGGATACTTCTCAACATCCATATAAAACAGAACTGTAAACTGATTTACTTTTTCTTTATGGATATTTTACACATCACTCCCTTTTTAAACTCTATTCTTGTTTTACTGTCGTATAGTATTTCATTTTGAGTGAGTTACTCAGATGAGTACCAGGAAACAGCGTTTGGTACTATGGTACAGTTGTGGTGAAGGCATCTGAGTTAGATGTATTTGAACCGAAATGTCTTCAGGCATAGCAGAAGATGGCATCTTTTTTACAGGACATTCCAGCCAATCTCTGTTTTTAAACCATGAGCTGCTAAATGAGTGCCTTACCCCACTGTACAGGCGAGTTGGGAACTTATTTAAATATACCTGGGCAGGCTCTGTTTTGCCGAGGTCCTCTGGCACTCGCGGGCCGCTGAGGGGTGGCGGTGTTTGGGGCGACGAAGACGGCTGCTCCGGGGCGAGGCGGGCAAAGATGGCACCTCATGACGCATCTACTGAGTACCGCTGTCCCGGCACCGTGCCGGTGCTCAATAAGAAGTAACGGTACCAGATGGGTAAAAATCTGAAGTCCCGGTACTGCGTACCGGTGAGTACCGGCCCAATTCAAGCACTCTTTACAAGTAAACAAAAAACTATAAAACACACTACAAGAAAGGGAAAACCCAAAGAGCATAATATGGCCTCTTTGAATGACCATATCTATCTACCCCAATTATTCAAGTGGCTAGCATTATAATAAATCATTGAACCCTTTAAATTCGAACAAAAAATGCTTCAAAGAAGCTGTCTTTTTTAGGAATGCATGAGCATATTGCCGTCCCACAACTCCTTGCTCCACCAATGGAAAATTCACATTTCAAATAATTTAATTTGACCCATATATCCAGTGAATTTTAATCCCAAATTTAGCAATCCCCAGTGCCAGGGGTCTGATCCCTGGGGTGCTGGCCCAACTCCCCGCCAGATCTGCAAACTTTCTGTTGCTTCCGGTACCCAGGTTTGACCCAGCTCATGCTGCTAGCCTAATTGGAGTTATATGAAAAAGTGTGGGACAAGTATTATTTTCTATTTATGCAATATGTTATTTTGTCTATCCCTCTTCCTTTCTGTTCATATCTCTTTCCTCCCAGGTGGTGGGGTGCCTGTGCCCAAAGGGGTTCAGTGGGAAGTTCTGTGAGAAAACTGCAGACGTATGTAAAGGCAAACCCTGTTTCCGAGGCGTTCAATGTCAGTCAGAGACAGAGCCCGGACAGTTTACCTGTGGAGAGTGTCCCAAAAATGCTGTCTCTGGAGGAAAACAGGGATACAAGTGCTTTGAGCATGGTCTGTAGTGCTTTGTGCAGTCATATTATCAGATGTGTCCCATCCCGTATATTAATATTGATCTCACTCTTGCTTCTCTGTATTCCTTTCAGACATGTGCAGCCCTCCTTTCCCCTTCCCCTGCCACAAAGATGCCGACTGCCTCAGCACCAAACAGAACTTCACCTGCACATGTAAGCCTGGCTTTACGGGAGACGGACGCAACTGCACAGGTACTGCACAGCAAAGGCTACGTCATGCTATGAAAGAGCATTGTCTTGACTTGGGACTTGACTTGGGACTTGATTTGGGAATTTATTTGGGACTTGTTTGTCTTGAGTTATGACTTGACTCTGGACTTTTCAGTGTTGATTTGGGACTGGTAAATCTTGGTTTGGGACTTTACTTGGGACGTGTCAGTCTTGACTTTGTTGTTTATTGAGACAAGTTGTTTTTAATTTGGGATTTAACTTGGGAGATGTTAGTCTTAACTTGGGATTTGACTTGACTTGTGTTACGTGCTCCCCTCCTGTTTGTCTCTCTGCCTCCCTGTTGCGCAGACACACCTGGTCTGCCCCTGGCTCCACCTCTACCAGGTGTTCCTAATCGCTGGCAGGATATAAGGAGAAGCTGGAGGAGTGGGATGTGTCTCCCCTTTTGCTGATGCCAATGCCAGGAAACCCTCTCCTTTGTGTGGTCGCTTACGGCCCCTACACACGTCGGCGTGCAATGCCGCTTCAACGCTTCTGCCCATTAACTTTGAATGGGGTGACGTCACGATTCGCCGAACTGCATTGTGGGAGCAAAGCGTAGCTTCTCTCGCGGTGCTCGTTGCAAAAGTAGAGCAATGTTCTACTTTTGACGCCTCGACGGAGGCGTCAGCCAATCGAATCATATGCCAGTCCAAGCTCTAGCCAATCAAACCGCGTGCTTGTGTGTCTGGAGCGGGAGATTCATGTGATTGGTTGTTGGTCGAGTTTCAGCCCCCCCCCCGCCGACAAGCGACAACGCACGCCGCCGTGTGTAGGGGCCGTTACTGTTGTGAAGCGCTAGTCCTTTTGATGTGCCTTTGTTTTATGTTTAGTCTGGAGGGCGTGGTAGTCAAGTTTTACGCGGCTTTGTTTTGTATCCCGTAGGGTTACTATTTGACTTCTGGTTAGGGGAGGACAGCTCTGGGTCATACGGCCCGTGGTGCGGCTGGCTCGGGCTCCCTCCCTCTTTTTGTTTATTTCGGCCAATCCTCCAGACCTCTTTTTGTTTGTATAAATAAATGACCGTTATTGTACGTGAATTTTGTGTTTTATTTTATGTTGCGGGTCTTCCCTCGAGCCACTACGATCGAGTAAGGGGCGGGTCGTAACAACTTGTAAATCTTGACCTCTGACTTGTGACTTGTTTGTCTTTACTTACACCAGTATTCACTTGAGACTTGGGAGTGGTTACTCTTGAATTGGGATTTGATTTGGGACTTGTAAATCTTGACTTGAGGCTTGTCAGTTTTGATTTGGGAATCGACTTTAGACTTGTTTGTCTTGGCTTACAACTTCACGCAGGACTTATCAGTCTTGACTTGGGAATTGGGAGTGGTTAGTATTGACTTTGGGTTTGACTTGGGACTTCTACATTTTGACTTAGAACTAGACTGGGGACTTGTCAGTGTTGAAGTTGGATTTAACTTGGCACTTGTTAGTCTTGATTTGGGATTTAACGTGAGACTCATACATTTTGAATTTAGCATTGAATCAGGACTTGTCAATGTTGACTTTGGAATTGAACTCAGGAGTTGTTAGTATTAAGTTGGGATTTGACTTGGGACTTATCAGTATTGAATTGGGACTTGTACGTTTTGACTTGGACTTGACTAGTGTATGGATTGCAAAGACTGAGTTGTGACTTGAAATCAATGACTTGTAGCCACCCCTGCTATTCAGCCAACATTTGAGTATGAATACCAGCACATGTATTTTACATGTTTGACCTGTCTCTGTCTGTGTTGTAGATGTAGATGAGTGTGCAGAGCTGGCCACCTGCCCCAATGCTAAGTTTGAGTGTAAGAACACGCCGGGTTCTGTCGAGTGCTTCTGTCGATACAAGAAGACCAGGGACACTGATGGATGTGGTATGTGCATGTTTGCCTTTCTGTGTTTAAGTGTATTACCAGCAACACACACAAGTAAAATATAATGTATTCACTGAGAGAATACCTTAATTACTGCATCATATTTTAGGAATCATGTCTTAACCCTCCTGTTATCCTCAGATTTACTTTACACCCGTTATCCTCTGGGGTCAATTTGACCCCAGTAGTTTAAAACTCAAGACAATGATCATATTCCGAATGTTAACCAACATGTATGTCTCTGGTGCTTTAGGTATCTTAGTTGACTACCTAAATAACCATTTAAATAAAACATTACCCCAACCTTCCCCCCTACAGACCCCTTTATACATCCAGAATTCCTATTATGGGACTATCGACAAATATATAAATCACCATAAAAACTCACTGACTGAAATAAAATATTAAAGTAAGATCTTTTTGATGTTGTTAAAGGACCAATAACTAAAGCAGAGGGTAGTTTTTTTTTTACAATGATACATTTGCATGTAATAGTCACCTCAATATCATCCTACACAATCAACACAAATATGTGTAAAATATTGACATTTGTATATTCAATTCAATTCAAGTTTATTTATATAGCCCAATATCACAAATCATATTTGTCTGAGGGCTTCACAAATCAACAAACACAATTGACAATGTAAACGCAATGTAAAACAATGTAAAAACAACAAACGTATCTTACAAGATCAATATGAAAATACCAATTTAAAGAGGAACACAACACAATATCACAAATACAGTTAGAGTACAATAATTAAAATTCCATCAAACGAAGGGTCCATGAGGATGTATAAAAGGGGGTTTAAAACCAGTCTTAACTGTATGCTGTACCAAAGAAGAAAGTCTTCAACCTACTCACTGTCTGCCTCCCTAATCGTCACTGGAAGTTGGTTCCAGAGGAACGGAGCTTGGTAGCCGAAAGCTCTAGCACCTGATCTTATTTTGTGGACTGTGGGAACCACCAACAGACCTGCACTCTGGGATCTTAATGCCCTGGAGGGGCAATAGGAGATTAAAAGATCCTGTAGGTAGGATGGTCCCTGACCATTGAGCGCTTTGTATGTGGGTAAAAGTATTTTAAAATTAATCCTGGACTTAACTGGTAGCCAGTGCAAAGCTGCTAAAACAGGAGTGATGTGGTCCATCTTTTTCGTCCCTGTTAAAACCTGTGCTGCAGCATTTTGTATGAATTGAAGGGTCTTTAATGATGAGTTTGGACAGCCTGATAAAAGGGGATTGCAATAACCCAGCCTGGAGGTGATAAAAGCATGGATTAGTGTTTCTGCATTGTTGTGATTTAGGATGTGCCGGATTTTTGCAATATTCCGTAGATGGAAGTAGGCAGTCCTTGAAATTTGCTTTATATGGGATTTAAAAGACAAATCCTCATCAAAGATAACACCAAGATTTTTTACAGTGGTGCTGGAGGTTAAGGTAATACCATCCGAATAAATTGTGTTGTTGGACAGTTTGTTCCGAAGGTGCTGGGGGCCAAATATAATGACTTCTGTTTTGTCTTTATGTCTGTGAGGCATTCTTGCAGTTTAACTAATGGAAATTGTTCACCTGGTTTAATTGATAGATACAATTGTGTATCATCAGCATCACAATGAAAATTGATGGAGTTATTCCTTATGATATTGCCCAATGGTAGCATATATAAGATGAACAGGATGGGTCCAACTACAGACCCTTGCGTTACTCCATGACTGACTGTAATTTCTAATGAGGATTCATCGTTGACAGATACAAACTGAGACCGTTTTGATATTACCTGAACCAGTTTAATGCAGTTCCTCTTATACCTATTAAAAGTTCTAATCTTTGTAGTAGTATTTTATGGTCAATAGTGTCAAAGGCAGCACTCAGATCAAACAGAACCAGGATAGAGGCAAGTATATGTATATGTTTTATACTACTAAAACAGCCTGGGGTCAAATTGACCCGAGGAACACTGATGCGTACAAAGTGTGTACAGGACATTTAAAAAAGATCTTCATGTTCATGGTATGTTTACCCATTAGTCCTCACTAAATTAGGAAAAGTAAAATACTAAGCAAAAAAAATAATGTGAACCATTTTTTTAGATACGTTAACGGTTAAACATTGAATGAGGTCAAATTGACCCCAAGGATAACAGGAGGGTTAACACTTTTTTGAATATTTCAACTAAATTATTTTGAGAATATGGAGGTTTGTTCACAAATTGTCCCATGTACATAAGATGTTGAAATGTTAATAAAACTCTATAGATATATATCCATATAAATTGTTACCACATTATGAAATATATACAAATATCAGCAGAAATGATAATAATATATAATCAACCAGAATAACGGAAATTGCCAATGTGATTTGCTAAGCACTGATACAGCAATTGATGTATCAGGAACTCCACAAATAGATAAGCCTATATTATAAGTGATACTCAATGTATGGCCGGTAGGCCAAATCCGGCACGCCAACCATATTCTAATTAACAATTAAATTGAATTGATTGAAAATAGAAATAATTAGTTTTTGTATAGTAACTAAGGTGCTTCCTGTCGTTTAGCAAAAGTGACCCCAGGGCAAAGCAAGTTAATCAGGAAAGAATCTCTTACTGCAGTGCCAGTTTGCACATTTCTGAAAACAATGATGCTCTACAACAGATAGCAGTGTGTCATCTGTGTAAGGAACGCACTTCTGAATGATGTGTTTGTTTCTCTGCAGGTGACCTTGCAAATCCTCCAGGTAAAGCCTCCCTCTTTGTCTTCTTTAACATTATTGTAGCTCTGCTCTTCCTTTACTGTTACCATGGTAAACATGCCCATATATTGTATTGAGCTTGTATAAAGCTGTGGATAATGTTCTGTTTCTGCAGGGGGAAATGTGTTCAACGTCTCTGTGGGCTGGGTGCCGAACAGATCTGATGGACTCAAACAGGTGTGTGTGTGTGTGTGTGTGTGTGTGTGTGTGTGTGTGTGTGTGTGTGTGTGTGTGTGTGTGTGTGTGTGTGTGTGTGTGTGTGTGTGTGTGTGTGTGTGTCCGCGTCCGCGTCCGCGCCAGTGTTTGCTGCTAATACATAGATTTGAACGAAATAATTAAATATATAAAAACAAATTCCTACACTGCTTAATGCTAATCTGTTTCTGCGTCTTTCCCAGCTGGTGGACATTCTGTCCATGGGTTTCCAGAACAAATTCTACAACGCCAGCAAGAAGGATCCAGTGCAGGGCTCCCCGCCAGGTGTGGCAGAGTATCGTATCAACATGTCCAGTGACACGCCACACTGGTACATCAGAGACTACATGGCCAGAGTCAGCAGCCACTATAACATGAGAGGCATAGAGGTTGATGGTAAACTACCAATCCTTTAACCCTTGTGTGGTGTTCATATCTTTGTTACTCAGCCAGTGTTCGTGGGTCTGGTGGACTGACCCGCTGCCTTTTTGGGTTTCAATTCAACACAATCAAACTATTTTATGTTAAAATACTCAACAGATGTTTACTTCATCCCAATTACAAGCAATATAAACAGCTTATATGGTTAATATTTCTCCATTTACATTTGTTGGATCACATTAATGAATTAAAGTGTTGCTTGTTTTTTTGCCCGCTGACCGGCTGGTCCCGTGGCTCGTCTTTTTTTTGTAACTAGCTGATGCTCAATCTCATCCTCTACTTCAAAGTCACTGTCAGACTCAGAATTCTCAGAAATGTGATCCTAACATTCTGAAACCTCTTTCTCTTCCTCTACATCATCATCAAATGGTTCTCTCTCTTCCAAAATCATTTGCAAGGCCCTCTGAGCAGAGAATCGTTTGGCCATCTTGATCAGTTGTGATAAGGACCCAAACTGGCGAAGCTTTATTT